GGTTTTCAGGCTCTTTTCACCTAATATTAGAAAATTCATTATTCGCTCAAAATACATCAGATCAAGCTCAAAACTTCAGAATGTAGAGTAGTTAAGCTATTCTATATCCTGTTTATAGGATCCTAAGCAGTATCGATTTTCTTGCGCCTATCAAAAACCATGACACCAAAAAGAAATATTTTAGAGAATTTATGAATTATCATTATGAAAGAGCTCATAGAATATAGAGTAAGTCAGAAAAGTCAGTTGAAAAGCTCAGATTTGACAGGTATATGTGTATAGAAAAAATCATTTTCACATAATGTATCTTATATTTGCTGCTGTTCTGTTGTTCGTTGAATAACTCTGTTCTGTGTTTGCAATATTCAGTTTACTTCGTAAATTAATAATTGTATACATATCGAATCGAAATAGATTTGGCTGAAGTTTTTTTGCAGACTAGTTAAAGAAAAATCTTTTTTGCAAATTACTTATAAGCGTAAGGATATGACTAATCCGAAAATATCTCTGCTCAGGTCTTTTTCGTTATCGCGATTGGAGGCATTATCCGTAAAATAACTAGCTTTTTTCTGCCGGCTACTTATAATCGAAACTTTATGAATAAAATAACCCTAAGTAGCTCGAGTGCAGTGCAATATAGAGACATGTTGCTAGATGCGAACTTATTTTTCATTGGTAGAAATCGTGAAAAAAACCAGAAGTCCGACACGGTTAAAAATGGGAAAAGTTCAAAATTTGGAAAATTTGCACGCTCTCTCCACCCATGGAAGACGTTTTTATAAAATTACAACTACCAAAGAATTTAAGTACAAAGTTACAGCTGCCTAAGTAATCAATTTCACCAAAAAATCTTGCTTTCGGAGCAATAAATAAGAGTCAGGTTTTAGGAAATAATGTCTCTTATCTTGGTAACGGAAAAGATCTGAGCAGAGATATTTTCGGATTAGTCATGTCCTTATGCTTATAAGTAACTTGCAAAAAAGATTTTTCTTCAGCTCGTCTGCAAAAAACTCCAGCCAAATCTATTTCGACTCCATATGATAGAGTAATGTATCCATACAGACGAAAGTCTCTCTTTTCAATTTCGTTTTCACAAAAGAACAGTTCCAAATTCGAAAATATAAATGTAATGAATTCGTCTACAGTTTGTTTGCACTCTCCACACATCTGTCTCCCACATTTTTCCTCTTACAAATTTTATGTAAAAAATACTTTTTTGATATCTAAGAAACTTCATTTTTGGCTAAAAAACTGTTCCTGAATGACCAGACATATGCGGCAGATGTTCGTTCAGATTCGGCCTATCGATAGTTCTAAGGGTTTGTTCCATTTTAAAGCACTCTCTCATATGAAGCTATCCAGGACCAATGTGAAGTGGCAACACCCACTTTTGACGCTTAATATAGCGGTATTTCCCGAACGACAGCAGATGACGCTCTCAGAAAAATTTCGTAATCTGACTTTTATTCAATCAACATCTTCTGAGAGTTTCTCTCAGGCTGAACCTGCAGCTTCCGAAACAGGTTTCTGACATCATGAATATTAGCACGTGGTCCACTTAGAAAGACAAAAATATGCCTTGTCTATTTAGTACTGTTGTCATCTAATTTCGACCAAAATCATCAATATTAACGATAGTCTTAGGAAGTTTTCCGCAACACAGTTATAGAAGAAGTCATTAGTTGTCTTAGCGAATCCGTTTAATGAGTGTTTCTACTACACGTCGATATCTTCAAAGTTTGAGTGAACAGTAGATAAACATTATTTATCAATTTTGATGAGTACTGCTCGACATCCTGCAAATCAACAATATCTAAAAACTGCTCGAGATATTAGTGAACTGTATAACATATTTTAGAGTGTGCAGGTCAGGGTCGGTATGAAAGTGGTCAGAACACAATATTTCATTACCTTCTACTAAAATTCATTTCCCATTCCTTCCAGCCAAGCCATACCTGGTGTATTTTACTAATATCTCGTGTATTTTGTTGATATCTATTTTCTCAGGATATCGCGCATTCATCATTTTGATCCAAAAAATTCAATAACAATAATTTCTTATTCATTTCTATAATCACAGAACATTATAAAGAGGATAGATAAACCAAACTTAAATGCATTTTCATACGCACTTGCTAATCAAATATCATAGTTTTGGAAAATAAATATGCGTTATGATCAGCAGCTTGATTTGTCACACAATACTTTAGTATCTGTTTTGATACATAATGTAAAAATTATTAATTTGTCTGTCTTGCTCCTTTCTTTTTTTTTGACATATGTTTATTGACACCACATTATTCACCACAGATAATTGTTGATAATCCATGACTATACAAATTAAGATTGTCTCCTTTTCCATATACAATAGTGTTTTATATAAAAATTGCAGTGCATAACTGACAAGCGAGGAAAAATGATAGAAAAGAAGGAAGAATAGTTGACAATATGATAAGAGAAAATAAATCTGACAGAAACGTTTTTTTGTTTTTAGGACAAATAAACACTATCTTTTGCGCATACTAATCATCATATTCCCATCTGGGATCCGTACGGATCCCCACGATAAATAAACGTTTAAATACGACTTTGAGCTAGCCTCTTAGATAAACAACCACTGGATGTGATTGGTTGATTTTGCTCATGTCACTCACTGGAACATAAGTGAAATGATAAATTCCAAAGCATGTGTTGTGCGCAGATAGCATTCAGATGAAACTGACTGAGCTCAGTGCAAACTCCAAGTGAACCTCCTTATAAGGATTAATTACACGTTTTAATAATTCGTTGTTTCAAAAGATTTTACTTTCTACTGTAAACAACCGTCCGCCTGTAATCGAGTTGTGTACTATTATTATTATTATTAATGTTAGAAGAAGAAATTTCGATATTGTAAAAAGATGGAAAAAGTTTTAGTCTTTGAATGATTGTTGACCTAAGTTTTTAACGTTCTCCGTTGTTCTAAATATATTTATTAAATTAATGAAAAGAAGAGAGAATAAAATTTTATAGCAAGACGAGTGAATGTCATTGATTCATGTTGAGAATACTCGAACGTGTCATGGAAATTTTTTGTTTCTTGTAATATAAATATTTTTATTTCACAAAATAGAGCATACAAAAGAATATTTACTGACACTATATGACATAACAGTTATCATATGTATGCTTGACAACAGACATGTGAATCTGATAGTGCGAAACTATGCCATTATATGATGCAAAAAAACTAAAATATAAAATTGCTAGTATTTATCTCAAAAAGTTTACAGAATGTTAGTCCTGTCCAGATTAGATTTGGATAAACGTTTAAGTGCCAAACGGCACTATTTCATTATATAGCGATGAATTTGTTGTTAATCTCATTCCAAAAGGAACTACTGAATACTGTCGTTCAGCAGGATTTTGTTTTAATTTAATCATCTCTTTTTCACCATTTTGCAAGTGTTATCGTACGCACGCCATATTCTACTTGTCGTAAAATGCAAAATATTGCTAAGATCTGTTATTAAATGGTGTGGATAAAACCGAATTGTTAACCACTACTTCATTATCATCAACGAGTACATATTCAAAAGGAAATATATTACTAAAATCAATATTTATATTGGATTCCGATGAGTCGGATGAAACTGATCTCGATGAACAAGATCTAACTGTTCAAGGCACATCAAATAATGTATTGCAGCTAGTCTAAATACTGGATGGTTACTGAGAAACTTCGTTTGTACAGTAATACTGATGGTGTTATGAAAATGTTTGTTGTCGCCTAAATTTCGTCAGATATGTTCAACCAAAAACTCAGAATTGCTGAAGTCATCGAATAAGATGATTTTTATGAATTTTGGAGACATTGAAGCAATAAAATGCGGTGAGTCGATTTAAAGTCTCATGCGGAGTTGTCCTTTTAGCGGAGACTAGCTTCACTTAGAACCACAGACTATCACATAATATACAACATCACATTTGCGTCTACAGTGTGACTAAGGCAAGTTCAAAAACACGGTGAGAATGCCTGTTTTCCTTGCGAGAATTACTTGTCAGTAGTGCGACAGAAGTCGCGTTGTTGCAAATTTCACGTAGATTCTAATTCCCGCTCAAATTTCTACTGTATTGCAGCGTAAATAATTCTCGAAATTCTCCTGGTTTTGAATGATAAATTGAGTTGCCATAATTAGTCACTTTTCTACACAGATTAGTTTTTGCTGGCAACCGGTTGTGTATTTTTTATTCTGATGAAATTTTAATATATTTAATGCTCATTCGTGAGTACACAAAAGGAAATAATTGTTCCGATCTAATAAATAGAGAAACATTGTTTTTTTGTTTTAATTTTCTATAGATGAAAACCTTTCTGTCATTTCCTTATTCATAATTTTATTATATTTCGATTAGAACTCATTGTCTTTTTATGAAGTAAAACAGAAAATGAAATAGTGAGACATATACACTTTTTGTTTGATGTGTTAAACTAATATACATCACAAGAATATCTAGAATGTTATACGGTATCCTATTGGAAAGTTGTCGGGATGGTATTTGTACAGCATACGGACACTCAACGTGGAAACGAATTGTTGAAGAATTAAATTTTGAACACGACTCATTTTCGACATTGGGACGTTATGAAGAAAATCTTATTGAAAAAATTGCTGAATGTAAGTAACAAGTTGCATTGAACCCGATAGACTGAAGAAAATTGTCATACTCATGATGGTATAATAAATCAACAAAAGATTCGGATTTTCAGATTTTTTTCTCAAGCTCTTGATACATTGTAGGACTCCAACTTTTGACTAATGTGCTATGTTTTCTATTTTTATGTCGACTACAGCCCGCGGAGAGACTGAACTGTTAGTTTATTGTACGATTGTATCTAGTGGGATCCATTGTAACAAATCGTAAACAAATTTGAAAATTTTCTATTCTAGCTGTGTAAAATAGCTAACATAATCCACTTAGAAATATGGTACGCCAAAAAACTGGATTAAATGAACGTATTATTGATATTTTCCTGGAAAAGCAAATACAGGGTTTTGTACACTCTAAAAAAAAGTCGTAGATTAATAAACTACAATAAAAGAGTTTTTTGGCCTAAAAAAACCGTTAAAAAACTCTTTTGGGTTTTCTGATCAGTTTTTTAGTCCAAAAAACTCTTTTATTGTAGTTTATTAATCTACGATTTTTTTAGTAGAGTGTAGCACTTGGAAACTTCTGTTGAATGATGTATTCGTTCACGAGTAGGGGTGGCAGTTTGACTATTACTCATGTATTACATTATCGAGGAAAGTAATACTAAAATGTATATATTACTGTTACTGGTAACAATAATCTTCCGTGTACTCCTATTACTAGTAACAGTAATATATACAATATTTGTATTACTGGTAACAGTAATAGTAATGTGCCACCCCTATTCACGAGGGGCTAAGGGAGAAAAATCCTTTACCCGTGCATGTGAACTAGGTGTATCATATGGGTTACAATGAAAAGAGGTTTACGGTGCAGTTGTGTGGATATAGTTCCCTGAAGAGCCAGTCATCACTGTGAGATTCGTCAGAGTTTCATTTGTGCCATTGATAAACATTTCTCTACTTAGTGTACATTCAACACTGCTGTTAGATATAGCGTATGCTGATTGTCGGTTTGTTCTGAAAATTTGAATAATTCTGTTTGTGAGAAACATATACAACTTTGCGCAAAACAGTTTTATAATTCACATTTCAGTTCTTATTATTTCGAAAATTGAAATGATCTAACTTTTTCAAGTCAAATAGCTAAGATGTCGAAATCTTATTTAAAAATTTTAATGGAAACATGTTTAACCTTTTTTGCCAAAACGTTTGAAATGACTTAGTCTATCTAATTACGAGGCTGGAAACATATTTATGTTTGTCAGAATTACATAAATATATTCCTCAAGACACTATCCCTGTTATTTTGATTAGTACTGTATAGAGCACGATGAAAGGAAAGGAATTTAGCGCAAGACATTGCTATATATAATGTATTTGTAGGTTTAACAGAAATCTTGCATGAGGGTTCACCAGAAACTTATATGCAATTTTTTGGGGAATGTTTCGTCAGGTTTTTTACAATGTATGGTTATGATAAAATTCTCCGAGTTGCTGGTAGATTTTTTCGTGATTTTTTACATTCAATCGATCAATTGCATGACAGTAATAGATTCAGTTTTCCAAAAATGAAATCACCATTGTTCCATGTTACGGATGAAGATGAAAATGGTGCCGTATTGCATTATAAGTAAGTATTATTTTCATAGTTGAATAAAAAGAGAATAAAAAAACAACCCAGTACCATTAGAAAATATGTATCTTCCTAACTTAAATTGATTTAAGTCTGATGTATCAATTGTTTTTTATATAATCAGATCAAAACGTCGTGGATTTCAACGTTATGTTATTGGTCAATTGAGAGAATGTGGCACACGGTTTTATAATGAAGAAATATCGGTTCGAATTCAAGATGATATATCAACAAATGAATGTATATATATATTGAATAGAATATGAGAGATTGTCGTACTTAATTCTTCTCTTTTTGTTTATAGACAGTCATATTATTTTTCGTGTAGAATTTAATAATATAAGTGCAAAAGACACATCGAAGCGATTACTAAATGCACCAACATTGCCTGATATAACAAGTTCAACATTTTTTAAAGTAAAGTATAATCTATAGCATAATTTACCATCATTAGTTTTGATTTACTTTTTCACATATTTTGTTTTACGTACCAAGTACATCGACATAAAAATTATTGTCAATATTAACTTTGGTTAGTTTTAAAATTAGAAAATGTGATTTATTGTTTATAGGTATTTCCATTTTGTATTCTTATTGATCCGTCTATGAGAATCTATCATCTTGGTAAAAGTATAAAAAATTTATTTCCATCTGATACACTTTTGAGTGGACGATATTTGGAAGATGTATTTCGATTGGTACGACCAGATATTTTACTTGGATGGAGTAAGGTATAGTAGTCTCTAAAAAATCATTCCAAGTAATTTACATCGATTTCAATAATACATAATTTCTCTAGGGCTATATTTAATATTGATCATGAATATGAGAATCATTTCGGTTCATTGATCTTTAGTAGTTGGGCTTACACTGATCAGTATCAAGAGACTCACAATAAACTTGAATATAGGCTAACGTTGTCAGACTGTAGGGTTTGTATGCATAGATGTTCGTAACTGCCAAATAAGTTTTGACAGAATTATAAAAAATTATTTTTTTTGGGATATATTAGTTGTATGAAGGTTGCGAATGCGAGCCTCTTTCTCCCTATAAATGTATACCACTATGAATACTTGTTTGATAGCTCTGAACATCTTTATAAGCGAATCTTATAATTTGATAGTATTAGACTGTACTCAGCTCAAAGTTTATTTCTTGATTTTATTCTCGGCATGTCCATCTAAGCAGGATGTATAAGATGAAATTAATTATCATAGTCATGATCAGCATCAAAAACAATATAACAAACAACTCTAAAAACATATATTGTGTGGAAATTGAGATCGATCACGTTGAAATATTCCTTAATTTAATCATCTCTTTTTCACCATTTTGAAGGTGTTATCGTACGGACGCCATATTGTATTTGTCATAGAAAGCAAAATACCGTTAAGATCTGATATGAAATCGAAGAAAGCGCCGGGTGTCATTCGTTTAAAAGGTCAAATGAAATTAATTACAAATTGGAATATGGTGGCATTTTTATGTCATCCTATGTAAGTTTGTTTCATGATCGATGCCTCATGTTCATCTAATTGAAATATATTGAATTAGATTAACTACAACGGAAGAAATGCTGTCAATTGGTCTATATTTACATGATTTAAATTTTTACGATGGAACAAGTGAAATATTAATTTCCGGCATGCAGCATGCGCGAACTCTACAAGTAGCCATTGATAAGGTTAGAAATAGATTACTATTAATATGAATTAGTTATGATTAAGTGAAAATATCTTCTTATCGTAGATATCGTTCGAGGATTTATTAACAATCAGTTCGAATGAAACTTTTTATTTTTATTTTCTAAAAGCCTCATCAAACTTTATTCACTGTTCTATTTTACAGTCTGATTAATAGAAAAATACCAACGTCTTTCTTTTACACTTACGAGAGGACATTCCCTACTATCTAACTACTTTTCGCATAAAAATAGGTTTCTTTGAACAATGTCGATATTCATCATGAATCTGATATCAGTCTGTGTGTTTTGTACAAGATCGAGCTCTCTCTCATCCGAGATACTTACGAAATTCTTTTAAATTCAAAAGTTTGAATACTTTCTGATTGTAGTAACTACGGGTAGCTCATGTAAAATAATTTCTGATCTAACAATCAAGTTTTTCATTAGATACAGAAGTTTTCATTGTAAGAACTATAATAAAAATAAGAATTTTTTGTGTCTAACTCGATGTGCAATACGAACAGACGAATTATGTCCATTCGAAACATTTGGCTTCTTCTCTAGAATTCTGGATTCCTGATTTTATATAATTTGAACATGTACTATTGAAAATAACAATAGACCATTTTCGTAAGCATTATTAACCTGGGTGATTTACCAATTAGTCCAAATTCTCAGCATAAACACATATCGAAATACTACCAGGTGACTCACTCTAACATCTTGTGCTCTTCCCCGTCTCTCTCGTCGACAGATGTTATAGGAGCTGTTCTTCTTTTTACATAAACAAAAAGCATTTAAAATAGGCAAGTATTTTTTTGCTAAATAGTTTTGATTAAATGCTAAGTTAATTTTTGTTAATTGTTACTTTAGTAAGGTATATTTTTGTGTGCCTAGGAGCGGTTGTGGCGGGAGATACGTGGAGAGCATGAGAGTGAACCACTAAACCACATTTCTGCAAAAAATAGAATTATTTTTAATAAATTATTTAGAGAAAAATAACTTTTTACTGAGCATTTAATAAAAACTACTTAGCATTTAAATGGGAGCCTTTAAAATATACCTTATGCATTCGAATGTAGTATTGTTTTTGACATATTGGTCACTATTTTAATGCGCAATCTGCAATATCTTTATCTTGCAATAAACCCTAGGTTAGATGTCTTTTTTAGACGAATAAGTGTTTACAGAATAATGATGTTACCGATCCGGATCGTGACTTAAAGCTTTTTTTTATAACTATAGTTACATTCTATACACAAAATACTACTTTCATGCAGTTCTGTTCTACCAGAATTTTCAAACTATAATTTGTTTTAAAGTATTGAAGCGTTTGTCAGCATTACTGATGAATTTTTTCTAGCAACACGCATGGATAACAAAATTACAATCATCTAAAGCAGAATTACAAGGCTTTCGACGAACAAGTAGGCGTCTTCTGTATTCAATGATGCCTCGACATATTGTACAAATGTTACAAGAAGGTATACAACCAAATTCCATATGTGAAGTAAGTTATCCTTTTATTGATAGTACTACTATCTGTTTCAAAACTTATGTTCTGAATCTGATTCTACTAGTGAAAAAACATCTTGCACTACTCCAAATTTCGAGAAAAATCTTCGAAAACCAAACTATTTTTAGTTGATTTTTATAACTAGTGTTTAGTGTAATGAAAATAGAATATATATTGAAGTTGTGAAGTAATTGGAATCTATTTTGACTGAATTCTGAATGTTTTAATGTTCTATTTAAAAAGGCCCATATCTGCTATATAAGTCTTTAACAGGTATTTGAATTTTCGTCTGAAAAAACTGTTGTTAAAGAGACTCAGTATGTTCAACAGCTTATGTTTCCATTTATTTCGAAGGTTCCTCGATTTAAATATCGCCGAACTAGAGTGTTTCTGAGATAATCCTGTTACACCTGAACCATGATAGATGGGAATCTCTGATTTGAGAGAATGTATAGAGATATCGCTCTACCTCATGGAAATATAAAAAAGTGTGTCACTTAGGGACGTTAGGATAAGGGGATCTCCTCAAGAAAAGATTCATAAGATGCACCACCTCCACGTTATGGTTTCACATTGATTTCTCCATCAGAATAAGACTAAGAAGATTCTCTAGGAAGAACATGATAATTTATTTATATTTTTAGTCTCATAAACTGATTACCATTATGTTTGCTTATTCAATGGATTTTAAAGATGTTATTCAGAAACTAGATCCAACGCAAATTGTTGAATGTATGAATCAAACTGTAAATGTGTTCGATAGATGTACCGAAAAATTTGACGTATTCAAGGTGAAATTTCTTAAATACAATTGTTATTCATCGTTGACTGACGATCACTTGATTAAAAGCCTTTCTAAATGCGACAATATTTATCGTCCATATTCTATTCAATAGGCATTGAGAATCAGTGATGTGATCTCACTAGCATTGAGTTTTACTTATTGTCTCTTTTTCGCTTGATATCTTCTCACCGTCAGATGATTCAACAACTTCAATAAACCATCAAAGGAATTGACTAATAGAAATGATATCCCTGTCAGTCTGAAGTTTTCATAGTTTCGAGCAAGTTTTCTTAAATACCCAAAACTGGGGTTTGAAAATGATCATTTTTTGCGAAATCGTTGAAAAGAAAAGCCTTCTTCCTCAATCACTTGTGATTATGAGAGTTTAAATATGGCCTGGTGATAGAACTTTTTAAGGGCAGCAAAAGTGCCATCTTCTCGTTTTTATTTCGTAAAATATAAGGGACTGAAACTGAAAAACTATTTTTTGAGTTGGAAAGTGTCAAGAATGAAGTTCCGCAGTATTTATGTATATTCTTTTCTTTTTACTGTATATAAAAAAAATGCTCAATCTATTTTTTGTAGAGAATTTCATGGCACATCTTTTTAAGAGGAAATCAGGACGAAAAAAGTGAAACAGGAAGGAAATATAAGTAAAATACAAAGTGACCGATTTTCTCTCCACCACCCGATAGAAAAATTTTTGCTGTTCTTCAACAAGTTGCCTAAATGAACTCAGATTTTGTACAGTATACATCCTATCTATCATCCGCAATCTTAATTTAATCCTTACGACCATCGCGGCTTTGTTTGACTCTAGACTTTCAATCGGACCAATAAGAAAAATTTAATTTTTATGCCATAATTCTTTTGCTTACACACACAGGTTGAAACAAAAGCTGATGCGTCCTATATGATTATAGCGGGATTTCAAGATCGATCAACAACTCATCGTCGAGAATCAATTACGGTACAAGAAGAAAATACTTTTGATTAAAATAAATTTCAATTGATTTATGTCCATTTATGTTTAGAGTGCTGCGACAACAACAAATTCATCACAAGCCGATGATACTGATATTGTTCTTAAAAATGCATTAAATTTAAATCAGGCAGAAGTAATTGCCGGCTTAGCATTAGAATTATTAAAAAATTCTAAAAATATAATTAATCCAATAACGAAGCAACCGTTTCGTGTTAAATTTGGTATATTTATATAGTAAATTACTTATTAAGATCTATATTGAATCTTTTTCTTGTGCAGGATTTCATTCTGGTTCAGCTGTTGGTGGAATTGTTGGTAATAAAAATTTCCAGTATTGTTTATTTGGTGATACAGTGAATACTGCTTCTCGTGTAACAACAAGTGGCGATGTATGCATTTCTAAATTGTCTTTTTCAGAAATAATCAGAATATTTTCATATTTCGCTTATAGGTAGGCAAAATTCATGTTAGCGATACATCGCATGAACTTTTACAAGCATCGCAGTATTTTGATCTAGCATTTCGAGGAAAAACCGAAATGAAGGTAAATGTTGCATGAGAAATACCATATCTTAGCAATCTTTACAAACTGTAAACAATCTTCCACAAGTATCTTTCATATTTCAGAGTGGTTAAAGTTCTAGGTAGTTTTTTTAATAATTGCAGGGTAAAGGTATGATGTCAACATATTGGTTGACAGGCGCTAAACCTGCCTATTTGAGCCAAATGGAAGTAATGAATGAATTAACGGAAAAAGAAGAGGGAGTTACTGCCACAATGTTTCAACAAACGATGTACAGTGTGAATACAAATACTGCACCGCCGCCAGATGAGAAAGAAAGAACTATCAGTACGTCTGAGCAGGGAAAAGACTCACCGGATAAACCGAGTACGGATAATTCAGAGCTTGGAAATAATGCACAAGAGTCGAATAATAAACCAGTACCGCAAAAAATACCAGTGGCAAAAAAAAATGTCTTAAATAAAATTGTCTCCGATATTGCGCCTGGTCAATGTCCATTTTCCGGATTGAAAACTTCTAGTTTTATGTAATACAAAGAAAATACTTTGTTATTATCTCAGCCGAACTTGTTTTTTCTGCAATACCTTGATAGTTGCATTAATGTACCCCAGAAATTACAATATATGCTTTTGTTGTATAAATAAACGGTTAAATGGGCAAAATTTCCTGTTTTTATAGTACTTTAAGGCAATAAAATTAAAATAACCAACAATCTGTTTCGAATACACAAATGATTGCGTATTATTACACGTTTGAAGAATGTATTCGGCAACAGTTATGTATCTTACTGAAGAAAAGCCTATTATCATCGCTGATTAAACTAATGTACTGATTATCACCAGTAATATTCATCATGATCTTTGAGCTGTTGAGTATTGAAATACAACAACCTATGAAGAAAAATGTATACTATTGGAGTTTTTATAGATCTGCAATTTATATCCATTTCTGTTAAAATTATAAACTAGATGTGGGATTTGACAGAGAGGCTATACCGGATTCATGGGGGAAGGGTGCTACTAACAGAACAATACTGATTTTTTTGACCTTACTGTACAGTGCAAAAAAAAGACAAGAAAGTTCAAAGTCAAAAAAGGCTGCGATCTCTACAGTCTATTTTTTGTTATTGTTCTCTCCCGTCTCATTCCCTCGTTATATCCGGAAGAAACTTCAGTTGGGACAGACGATACAGTCCGCGTATGCTGTAAAATATGTTCCACAAAAGTCAGTCTTGGGCTCTCCACGGTCCTTCCGTTTCCAAAATATATATTTTTTAATTTCTGTAATCATAATCAGAAAAGACCGAGTTTTGTTCTCGTTTTTCTCTGTTGAAGAAATTATTTAAATCTCACAGTTTTGTAAAGTAAACATTTTTCTTTAAAGTAGAGCATTTAGAAACTCTTCAGTGATCATAATTTCTCACAAGGATATAAGATTTCTGAAAGCCTCTCAAATAAATATTCATTCGTTTATTAGTCGTCACGTATTCGCATCTGACCTAACGTTCATTGTACATGAACCGATCAACAACATCCTTAACGGAGAACTTAAATCAGTCTTAAGCCAATACTCTAGTGAATGTACTCGGGCCCTGTGACGCGATTCTTCAAAGAACTGGAATTATATTTTATATACTCGTGTTTATAAAAGCAGGAAAGCTTCTATAACATCTGCAGACGAGAGCGACTGGGAGGAACATAGGACGTGAGAGTGAGTGTCACTTTATAATATTTCTTCATAGAACCAATGCTTGTTTATGATAAGAAGTTGATAAGACAGATAGTATCTGGTTCGCAGAAGAGTCGACGAATGCTTGAATCTCAGTGCTTATGTTAAGTACTTCACTTGCGTAATGAAGCTGGTACTTGTCTCCTCTCCAGAAATAAATTTACTTGTAAGGGAAAACTGCAAGTGCATTCGTAAAATACTTTGTAATAATTAAATCGAATATTACAATCGTAAGAATAATTTGGAAAAGTTCAAAGCAATTAAGCAGTTTTGAAAATACTTGGTAATTCTCCCACGTCATGCTTGGTCTTTATTAATCAATTAGCTTTAGTAGCGAAAGATAAATTAAAAGAATGAAGAGCACACGAGAACAATGTTAAGTTTGTTGTTTAACAGTACACCAGAGTTGTAACCGGTCTGAAAATACTAGACCGGTTCGGTCAGTCACCGGCCGGTCTAAAAATATTTTCAGACCGGTAAAAACCGGCGAGTTCATCAAGTTTTTTCAAGTAATAACTTTGATATTAGGGACAAACTTTTGTTCTGAATACCTACAGATTTTTACGCCTGTCTTTTCTGTAATGCTTATACTGGAATTCTAATACCAAAAAACCAACCAATATTTTCAAGATTGAGTTTCTTCTGCATGGGATAAGGTTCCTTCCCACAAAAGTCGGTATTTAATTTCCATTTCTTTTGTTATTTCGTTCAAATTTACGCGAGAAAATGTATGTATACAATGTATACATACATTTTCTCGTGCATACTTCTATGCATACTATACATAGAAGTAATAAAGTCAAATGAATGGTAAGATCAAAAATGAATGATAAAAAAGAAAACAAATTGAAAGAATAAAAAGAAAAAATTTACATTTCAAATAAAATTGTCACTCTCTCTTTCCTTTAAAAAACTACTAAGCATCCATACATGGTATCTTCCTGATGAAAAATGAACGAATATGCACAACTTTGTGAAACCGGTAAAAACCGGCCGGTCCAATTCACTCAACCGGTCCAGTACGCCATGACCGGACCGGTTACAACTCTGCAGTACACCCATTCAACACAGAAAAACAATGATTTAAGTTTTGCTCAAAAATTCTTTGTAAAACAAACAAGATTCTGTTTGTTTAATCGAATTTGATTTCGATTTGAAGATAATACGTACGGTTTATTGATACATAGGCAGAACATCATCAAAAGCATTAATATAATTTGTATATCAACTTCTAAAAATCAGGAAGGTGCCACCATTCATGTAATACGTCCATTTACATAGAATAATAATTGATAACATTTTTGTCTTATTTATTTTTTGTTTTCTCTCACCTGTTTGCTTCATTTGATGCATTGTTACACGTGTATATTTCATAATTTTACATTTACGTTTTAAATGAGAATAGTCTTTATATTTGCTATCTTGTTTATTTTAACTACAGTTTTTTCTGTAGAAGTCAAAGACGATGATAATTTACATATTTCAATATCTACATCAGGCACCTATAATATATCAATCGGTACTCAACAATGGTTACAATCTAGTCGTACAGCATTTTATGCAAATAATTATTGGTATTCAACAGATACTAATACATTGACATTATTGAACACTTATACTACCAGTGGAGGAGATAAATTTGGAGGAAATTGGCAGGATATAACCTACACATGGAAACTGACATCCGAAAATATAACAACGCGAATAAGAACATATCTCAATCAACCATTTATTTTATTTTATCAAAATTTTACAGAAGAATTATCTAGTGGAAGTTTAGATATGGATTTAGTTCGAACAGTATTTCCATCATTTCTCATACAATCAAACGACATTAAAAGAGATTATATATCATACGGAGGTAAATAAACAATAGCCCTTAATAATCAAAAAGATGGCATATGAACAATTTTTCTATTGAAATGCATAAGTCTCAAACTTTAAGTTTATTGAAATATATTCATCATTTTCCGTCAGTGTTCTATGGATAATTAGTACGAGAACAGATTAAGAAAGAATTCGTTTTCTATTATTTTTCTTGACTGATTAAAATGGTAAAAACTAACATAGTAATATAAAGAAATTCGCATTTTCACTTTTTCCGCCGTCGAAAGTAGAACCAAGGACAGCTTAATTTATCTTTCATAGGTATTTGGTGAATGATTGATGATCCGCCTTCGAATTTCTGTTCCATTCAAACATGACGTTTCGTCAGCAACTAATATATTACCGATTGAATCTTGATCATTTTATCGAAAGTCTTAAGCCACATTCTCTTATAGTTTTTTTTGCTTTAACATTGACAACTATTCAGGAATAAGTTTAAGTTTATATTTTTTCATTGTTTAGGTATGATGTTTGGTGATTTAGAAAAGCATGCTGGTAAATGGGATTCATCGACAACATTTTTGAAAGAAGGAATTAGTGGTGGACCATTAATTATATTTGATCAACAAAATCATGTTCTAATATTATCATCATTTAGTGAATTTATGTCAACATCAATGAGTCATCGTGGATTTAGAGGTGGTTCTATTGAATTTGGTATTATGGGTTCTATTGATCCAATACCATCCAATTATTCAAATTCATTTATTGTCTATTACGGAAATAAAGGTATTAATGATGCTGTTTATAATTGGGGTTTAACACTAAGAAAATATTATAACAAAACAGAAAATAATTTATTAAATGATTTAACAATCAATTATTTAGGTAAGTTAATAATTTACTATGCTAAGAATTAATAAATTTGATTTACGACTGCTTTATTTTCCAACATAAATGAGTCACTTCATACGACTGTCTTCAATAGAAGCGTTCATCCGTCTTCTTCGAAGTCACCTGAAAGGCGCTGCATCCATTGAACCGCATTTCGGTGATTCTGCTCAAGCTGGTCTGATGTGTCTTCGAGAAAAGACACATTAAAAACTATTTGTCACTGTGATGAGCTGAACTCGGTCTATTCGCCTATCAGACAAACATATTGACCATGGACCTACACATATTGACTCTTAGTCATCTTTTCATATGAGATTTCCATCATCAACCTGAAGTAGAAACATATGGAAGCCACTGAGAGACAGAGAGAGATAGTAAAGGCTGTTTTCTTCCACTCTTTTCGGATAATTTTCTTGAAGTATGTATCTTATTCAAGGTATCCATGAATATGACTTCTAGGTGTTTAACTATAGTAGAGATCTGCATGGACAGCTTTTCTCTGGTTATGCCCATGGACAACTCACTGGAATCAAAGTTTATCCGTAGAAGTTCATCTCATGCAGATTTCTAGTCTAAAGGTATATTGAAAACATGTGAGAGACATTTATTATTCTATTGACTGTAAGTCTATAGTCATACGAAAAAAATTTGGTCATACGAAAAACTAAAAGTGTTTGTGTGTGCCTGTGTTTGTCCGTACAGAGGTGTGACGGACGTACATAGTATGTACGTTCGTTCAGAGTTCCCAGATCCTCAGGTGAGAAATGCGGAATAAAAATCCCAAAATGCGGAAGCTTGCGGAAAATTTTTCTCAGAATGCGGACAAAAAGCGGAAACACATTTTTATGGTCTAACTTCATCCATTTTCACGCACAATCACAGAGTTGCCAGCTGGAGTACCATAATCGACGCGATTTTCTGCCGTATTGGCATTGATTGTGGCGCCTGAGCTGGCAACTCTGCTGGCACAGAGTCAAAAAAATGTTTTCTCTAGCACTTTGTGGTTTTATTCAATAAAACACAAGAGAAAAACAAACAGAAATGTAAGTCCCGATTTTAGTTGACACGTTGTTTTTTGACTGTATATTTTTGATTAGAATGAATAAGTTTAAGCAGATCTGGCGTTGATAAGAAATAATGACGTATGAATTACTGCGCGGGAATCGAAAATATAAACGAAACTAATTTGTGCACGTTTGGAGATGGTGTTGGTTTGACAATAGGATGAGAAAGAGAATCCTCAATAAATAGACATTCTTTTTTTAAATGTTATATGTAGACAGGGGAAAAACAGCAAAAACAGACAATTCTCAAAATGCGGACAAATAGCGGACAGCGGACAAATTGCGGAAAAAATTGCGGACGTATATACCTATAGTCACGTGGCAGTGTGAGGGACGTACATACATATAGTCACGTGGCAGTGTGAAGGACGTACATACTCAGAATCACTAATGAGTGTCACGGACAAAGATCCACATGGGTAGATGCGCTCGCGTTTTTTGTGGATTCAGAGACCTGTAACACCTATCCTGGCTGCATGCGCGGTGAGCATTGTCTAGAATTTCGAAATATGGTTAGACCTCTGAGGTTCTTTGGGAGTCAGATAAAACCAAATCAAATTACAGAGACGTGGTCTGGAATTCAGAAGTGTTTGTAAACCTCGGGGGTTCTTTGGGCGCTCTGGAGAAATCTTGTATAGATTGAAGCTACTTTACGAAGGTGACACATCATATCAGAGAATTATTCATAACACATGGTAGATAATCCCCAGCGAACACCGACCGAAGGGAGGTGTAAGCGTTGTTTCGACGAACTAGGCCAAACGTTGCCTCCACTCCGGTTTTGTGATCAAGGATAAGAAGATTGATAGATTCGTCCATTTCGAACATCTGTATAGCACATGAAAGGAAATCAAATTACGGAGTCTCGATGAACTACAGAAATTCTTATAAACTTTTCTAACCTGTGAAAAGCTATAGCAACTACTTCTGTAAACTACGATAGAAAATATGCATGTCCGCATCGTAAAAAATACGCATCAATTCTGTAGCAATAAGATCGGACTACAACAGAATGAAAAAATATTCGCGACACGACATTCATTCGACTTACAATCAATGGACTTCGTGAATCGATACGATTCACGTTATCGATTTTAAAGACCCAACGCAATTACACCTAAGAAAAGTTTTCTCGTTACGTTCAAGACCGAGTTTGAAAATAAAAAACATGACAAGATTTCCTTTCAATATATGCATACCCGCATTATTTAGAAATATGTTGCCTGTTTACTTAAGGCTATTATACCGATAATGGTGCGTATTATTATTATCATACAGAATTAAATTTAAATTATCAACAAACAATATTAGCATTATCAAAACATATTCAAGAACTCAATTTACCAGTAAAATATTTTCAATATGATTCATGGTTCTATTATAGAGGTATTGGAAATGGTGTTACCCAATGGACATCTCGTCCAGATATATTTCCTGATGGCATTGATAAATTACATGATGCAATTCACTTACCCATTGGGGCTCATAATCGATATTGGGCATCAAATACAACGTATGCAAAAGATAACGGTGGAAAATATTCTTTTTTAATTGATAAATTAAATGAGAAATCTCTTCCAGTTGGTAATGATACATTTTGGACTGACTTATTTTATGAGGCAACAACAAAATGGGGTTTAATTCTGTACGAGCAAGATTGGATGAATCATCAAACGATTGATTTTAGTTATTTAAGAACAAATGCACATCTTGGTAGACAATGGTTAATGTCAATGGGAAAAGCGGCTGATGAACAAAACCTAAATATTCAGTATTGTATGGCATTGTCAAGACACGCTTTACAATCCGTCGAGATACAACGTGTTACACAAGCTAGAGTATCAGATGATTATTTTGTACATTTAGTTGAACATGATCCACAGTGGAAAATCGGCACTTCATCGATCTTGGCTTATGCACTTGGTATGAGTCACCGTATGATAAGCTGAATCATTATCCATTCTCTTTCTTACACTTTTAAAAATTCAGAAAAAACTCAGTATACAGCACTAGCCACAATAACAGAGCCAGGCTTTCAAATCAGTTTGTCTCCACCCAATTTTTCCCCAACCAATATACACGTGAATAAGAAACAGTCTATGTGACTCACTTGATATTTGTTTTTTGTTCCACTTCAGGTGTAGTTCCGTTTAAAGATGTCTTTTGGTCAACATCTGAACAACCTTTAAATCCGTATAAAAGAGGTTCATATGAACCAAATCCTGATTTACAAATTCTAATATCAACATTATCAACCGGTCCAGTGGCATCGGGTGATCGTATCGGTTATTTTGATACTCAACGAATAATGAAGTGTTGCAATAAAGATGGTCTCATATTAAAACCAAATCGCCCACTAACAATGATTGATAAACTTTTACAAGATTGGTCATGGAACGATGGAACGTCGAATGGTGAATTATATTCAACAGTCTCAACGATTGGTCAAAATGATGCATCCGATAAATTTTATATTTTATTTGCGAGTAACATGAAATCAAACTACGATATATATCCGACAGACCTTGGACTATCAGCGTCAACAGATATCAATGACTATGTAGCATATTCATGGAGCAATCCATTTGAACTTGTCAAATTTAGTTCGAATAATTCTTTATCAATAACAACAAAACAATGTGGTACTAATGATATTAACTCATTTTGTCTATGGTACATTTCGCCTTTATGGCAATTTTCTCAACCATCGAAATCGATCTATGCACTATTAGGTGAATTTAATAAATGGGTTCCCGTATCAAAACAACGATTTCAGTCATTAAGTATATCACAATCAAACAATCGTACTGCAATCGATGTTAAAGGTTCATCATTAGAATATACACAGTTTTTAATTTATTCACAAGCATTAGGTGGCGTCATTACTCTACCATGTCAGTTATCATCACATGGATATGGACAAATTGTTATTACAACACAAAGTGCAGTTTGTCTACCGACAATAACTTAGATCGATATCATACACTAGAGATAACTTTAACGTATTCTACTGTTCTACTTTTTACTTCTTATAAAAACAGTAGCTTAAAATACATGTTCAAAAATGTATAGAGATGCACAAAAACATCAAGGTCAAATTTTCATTACCAATCCCTAGATATAGATGTTTAATACTTTATTTTCTCCGTCATACCTCAGCATATCTAGTCGATAGAAAACAAGCAATCTACTTCATAACACAGAATAGAAAAGGGGAGTGTGAGAAAATATAATGCGTGTATACGCATACCTCAGTGCTAGCTGCTTCATTTACTAGCCTTTCATTCTTTATTGTTACTTTCGTTAGCGTGTTATAAAGAGTATTCGAAACGCATAATGCGCAAACCATTTTACTTTTTACTTTTGTTAATGGCATGACTTTTATCATAAAGTGTTTCTGTTTTATCATTGATTGCAGCTGAATTCATTTCTTATGTCATTTTAGTAATTAATTTTAATCTAAGTTTTCGAATCAACGATTCATCATCCGAGAACCCATTTTTATCATTCTTATTTTTTTCCGATTACATAAAGAAAAGCCACATTTCATTTACACACATGACGGACGATCAGGAAAAAAGAGCCAAACCCAAGAGAAAAATATTTGCATTTAAACAAATAGAAAATATTTGCAAACAAAGTATTGTTTTCATTCGAGTAGCACTGACATTTCTAAACCACCACAACGGAGTAAAATCGTGTATCTTTATAAAACAGATGAGTTATTGGAATAGTCATTACTTTACTGTTTATGTTAAAACGGTATATTTGTTGCATGTTTAGTCAATAAATTGTATTTAAAACATAAAAATAATTACATTTGTAGGAGAAAAAAAGTCACGGATGAAAATTATAAAAAATGACGAATAATCGACAAAACTATTTATGAGACTGCGATGTTTCCGTAACGCTGGTACGTGTATGAGTTGCACCATGACCAGCAGTGTCGGTTGATGCTCTTGTAGCTGCGTGTTGGTCTGATTTAGCTTCGGATGTAATTGTTGTTGTTGTACTTGTTTCTAATCGACGTGCAGCATCCTGGGCTCCTAACTGTTGAACTTGATCTTTGATATCAGCCACTTTAACATTCACTTGGGCTTGGGCTTCTTTCATCACACCAATTTTAGCTGCATTTGCTTGTGTATTTAGTTGATCAATACGTTGTTTAGCGTCATTCAAAATCTCTTCTTGTCTAATATTTAATTCTTTTTCCATTGCTGCTAATGTTTGTGCCTTTCCGATGTTCAATTCCTCCACGGTCTTTTCTAATTTAACTTTATAATCATTTTCCATTGCCTGGTTCCGTAAGTTAGCATCCTCTAATAATTGTTCTTGTCTTGTTTTGGTTTCAGCAACAACTTTATCGATTGCTCCTTGTACCTCTTTATTTATTTGATCCGTACGTTTCTTTGAATAATCATCAATTGTTGAATGGGTTGTACCTGAAAAATTATAATGTCAACTGCGAGAGCTCGTATAAATAAAACGTTGAACTTACCCAGTTTTTTCATTAAATCATTAATTTTTGTTTTATTCTCCATACCGACTTTTGAATGTGAATCCGATGAAACCGATGATGAAACTTGTACATTACCGCTACCTACTACATGTGTTTCACCAGATGCTCTCGATGAACTACTGTGATGCTCACTTTTGTGATGCTCACTGTGTTCACTTTCATGTTTATCGTCTTTGCCAAGTATTTTATTAATTAATCCAGCCATTGCAAATTTATAAATATATAAGACTAAAACAGAGAATTAAATGGTGACGAAATAGAGGTGAGTTATACACAACAGGTATTTGACTCACAAGACACTCACCTTGTTTTGTGTATCTGTATGAAAATAATAATCCATAGTGAAAAATGTTTCTTTATATAGACATAAACTCTTCAAGCATGAATGCATGTGAAGGTACATGCACTCCTTTATTGCGTACATTCACCAGTTTCTAGATCATTTCTTTAACTTGTTTCATTCTCATATTTTCTAGCTTACGTAAGATATACGGTACATGGAGTCTTAAGGCTTGCCTATTTTTGAAGGTGAAAAATAATACCACTGGAAGGTATGAGAATGAAACAAGGTACGAATCATCCATGCTCTTAGATTAAACACATTTTGAATAGCTTTATTACTTATTCTTTGTTCTGATGTCCTCTTTGATAACAACACCTAAAACTAAAAGTAAAACAAAGCTCAAATCAACCAAAAATAAAACATCGTCAAAAAAAACACAAATAACAACAACATCGAACTCCGCGACATCATTTGCGTTTGACGGCTTTAATGGAAGAAGTAGTGTTACTTAAAGATGCGGTTGCATTTCCATTCAAGACATTCAAAGTTGGACATTTACGGGTGTTCATTGACATCTTTCTTATTTCTTAAAGAAAAAAAACTTTGTGAGATTCATGTTCTCACTATCGAGAACCTCCTTCGTCGCCAACCAGACCGCTC